GGATAGCTGGTTCTTCTTGTAAAATAAGCTATTTAGGGACTATAATCTGAGCATTAAGGGTGATTTCTTTTCCTCATTCTTACAAAGATAACTTTGAAAAAAGTTTTTAGTGTGTCGTTCCTTTGGTTTTTTAAATATAAGCAAATATGTTTATGTATTCATATCCTCTTTTAGATGAATAGCAATATGCTATACACACTTTCCTCTACCTTACTTTTTAACTTAATATATCCTGGTCATCACTTCATAGCATCCAGAGACAGACTCCATTCCTTTTTACACTTTTTCCCACCAGTCCCCTCTTAATGGTCATTTGGGTTATTTCTATCCTTTTCTACACAAACAGTAAGAGCAGTGAATTTTCTAGAAGAAAAGAAAGGTAAGTCCAAGTGTGTAGCAAGGAAATAAGCTTACACAAAGAATGGTCTACTCTTTGCCTTCAGCAATTGGGAGGTGATCCAGGGAGGCACCTGCAGTGCCCTGCCTTACAGGAGTTTCTCTGTTTGTCTGGGGGATTCGGGCCACACAGTATGAGTTTTGACTTCCAGAGGAACTGAAACCTAAAGGTATTAGCCAGACCTCCGAGAGAGGCTGGAGATGAAAAGCCAGTCACATAGACAGTATGTGATCAAGCCCTAATACAAACTCTGGACACCAAAAGCTTGGATAAACGTCCTTGATTGGCAATAACCTGTGCTCATTTCACAAGTCATGGCTGGGAGGAGGTCACACTGTTCAGGACTCCACAGGGAGTGTGGATGATAGAAACTCCACATTTAGACCCTTCCTATGTTCTGCCTGATGCATTTCTTCTTCTCTTAGTGAATTTTAAGATACATCCTTTCACTATAATGAACCATAAACATGAGCATAACAGCTTTCAATAAGTTTTGTGACACTAGCAAATTATCAAACCTAAACATGGTTTTGGAAACCCCCCAGATCTTCAGTTGGTGTCAAAAGTGAGGGCAGCCTTGTGGAGACTCTTCCCTCAGACTTTGCAGTTTGGTTAACTTCTCTGAAAAAGAAACTTAAGTATTTAAAGATAATTGTTTTTTTTTTTTCTCAAAAGTACAGACTTTAGTCAAGAACAATTGCTCAAATGAAATAGAACTCTAAGCAGCTTGTTATATCAGAAAAACCACGGTAATGTTTTATTTTACTTAGTATTTTAGTTCTGGGCCTCAAATTTGTTTATAAAATTCTCAGATTGTAAGAATCAGCATTTTAGACTGTGAACTTTTTTCTTGGAATCTCACATGGCCTCAAAGGATAGTTAGGTGAGAGTTACAGCTGTGGCAACAGCCCTTCTGCTGTGCCCACAAGTGACCAACTGCCATCAGACGACAGGCAAGATGTCAAATAGATCGCCAGGCCTCCCACAAGGCACAGGGAAAGAAAGTAGGAAGGCTTGAGGAAATAGAGTTCTCTTGTAGCCTGAAGCCAGTTCAGCTTCATACATTCTCTTTCCTGTGGTTGATTGCAAGGTTTTGATGGAAACCATTCCACACCACTTCCAGAAAGTCTCACCCAACAAATAGTTTTTGAAAACCTTCCATTTTCTGGACACTATTTTAGATGTTTGGGAAATACCTGTGCACAGAATAAAGATCTTCACCCTTGTGGAGATTGTGTTCTATCAGGAGTGCACAGATAGGAAAGAATAAATGGAAGATATGAAGAATCATATTGTGTGGCAAAAGGTGATAAGGGCAATGCAAGGAAGATCAAGGAGGAGGGGAGCAGGAGGGCAGGGGTGGGTTGAAGAGTTTAGTAGGGTGGGGATCAGGGTCTGCCTCCCTGAAAAGGTGCAATCTAAGCAAACACTTGGGTGTCTGGGGAATGCATCATCCAGGCTAAGAGAATAGCTGGAGCAAAGGTCCTGGGGAATGTTTGAGAAGCATAAAGGAAGCCATTAAGGCTGGAGTGGAGTAAGTGAGGGGAAGGGGAAGGAGATGGGACAAAGACTGAGCAAGGCTCCTAGGTGCCCTGCCTTGTGAAGGCGTTTGAGAAGGTTTGCCCCCTATTTTCAACCACCACTGTTGATTTTGCCCCTACTTCTTGATTGCCACATCCCACGGTTTTAAATGGAATTCCACAAAATTCTGTGTAATTTAGGGGATAATTGGCAAATAAAATTGGGTGGAATTCTCAGGTTGAATATGGACTTTGTTCATTTTATCAGCTGAAACTGCCTAGTAGCTGCAGAGTAGAGTGAAGATACCTCTGTTCTAGTAGGTCTGGGTTTGCAATCCCAGTGCTGCCATTTTCAAGCTGTGTAACTGGGGGCAGGCTGATGTTCCTCTCTGAGGCTGCATTTCCTTAGCTCTAATGTGGGTATTGTAATCAGTACTTGTTATGGGCTGAATTGTATAATTGTACCCACTCAAAATTCATATGTAGAAGTCCTAACACCCAGTATCACAAAAGGTGATAGGGTCTTTAAAGAGATAATCCAAATAAAATGAGGTCCTAAGGGCAGGCCCTGATCCAATATGACTGTTCTTATTAGAAGAGGAAACTTGGACACAGATACACATAGAGGGAGCACCGTGTGAAGACACAGAGAAGAGATGGCCAGCTACCAGCTAAGCAGAGAGGCCTTACCATAAACCAACTCTGCCAGTATATTGATCTCAGACTTTGGGCTTCCAGAACTGTAAGGAAACACATTTTTATTGTTTAAGCCACCTGGCTGGGGGTACTTTGTTATGGCAGCCTGAGTAGACTAAACCAGCACCTCAAAGGGTTGTTATTGGATGTGCTTAGTGGTAACTGGTTCCTGAAGGCTGTGCTATCACCACTAAAGAACCCATCCATGTAACAAAAACCACTAGTTCCCCCAAAACGATTGAATTTCCTCTTTTAAAAAAGTAGATACCTTGTAGAAAAGGACCATTGATTACATGCTCATAGAAATTTCGCTTTACCATTTCAGCCGCCATATGCGTGCTGTGTGTCCAGAACTTGGGATTCAAAGACAAAGGTTTCCAGTTTCCTTCCTCCAACAGATGCTTGTGGCCTGGTGGGGAGCAGACAATGTGTGCACATAGATGAACTGAAGCACCAAGCACCAAGTTCATTCAAATTATTGGCATGAAGTGTGTGATGAGCAGGGAGAGGAAGCCATCCTTTGGCCTGGAGAAGTTGAAGAGAGCTCTCAGAGGATGTTAGAACTGAGTGGTAACAGTCAGAGGAGAGGGGTGGAAGTGTCATGCCTGGCATGCCTGGCATGACTGCCAAGGAACTGTGGCCACATGCAGTTCTCATTGCAGGCCAGCCTCCAGTGAGAACACAATTCTGGTGTTGCAATGCAGGTCGGTGTCCTGTATTAGCTTTCTATGCTGCAGAACACATTGCCACTAATTTAGGGGCTTGAAACCACATCCGTTCATTATCTCACAGTTCATATGTCAGAAGTCCTGTAAGGCATGGCTGGATTCTCTGCTCCATGTCTCACAAGGTGGGAATAAAGGTGTCAGCAAGTTGTGTTCCTTTCTGAAAGGCCCTGAGAAAGAATTAACTTTCAAGGTCATTCAAGTTGTTGGCAGAATTTAGTTCCTTACAGTTCCCTTCATCTTCAAGGCAGCAGGGTCCCATCCAGGCACACTGAGTCTTTCATAAGCTTCAAATCTCTCCTCTCCCTTCTGCCTTCATCTTTAACTTTTAAGGGCTCATCCACCGGGTGATTCCATTGGGCCAACTCAGATAATCCAGTATAGCCTCCATATTTTAAAGTCAACTCATTAGAAAACTGTCCACAAGGCCCTTTTGCCTTGTAAAGTTAACAGACAGTCCCAGAAATTAGGGTGTGAATTCTCTCAGAGGACTGTAATTCTGCCTGCCAGTCTCCCACCTGGATCTTGCCAGAAATCAGTACCTAGCACCAAGTCTTTATTTAATTTTTATTTTTAGAGTGGTGCAATCACAGCTCATTGCAGCCTCAAACTCCTAAGCTCAAGCCATCCTTCAGCCCTGCTTTGAGTAGCCAGCTAAAGGTGTGCCACCATGCCTGGCTATTTACTATTATTTTTTAAGCGATCTGGTATTGCTATGTTGCCTAGGCTGTTCTCAAACTGCTGGGCTCAAGCGATCCTCCAGCCTTGGCCTCCCAAATTGCTCGGATTACAGGCACGAGCCACTGGCCTGGCCTAGCGCCAAGTCTTGATGAACCACCCACAGGGACATCACACCTCCCGCCAGGTGACAGGGACAGTCACAGCTCTTCCAGGCCTCTCCTTCCTCTGACAGGAGTCTGTGAAGTTGGTGGACACAGGAGCCCAGGACCACCTCCTCTGCCTACCAGGGCTTAACTGACAGTTGGCCCGCAAGTACTTATCATTATTATTGTTTTAACTTCATGATCAACTTTTTAAAAACTCAGGAGGGATCCCATTAAAACTGATTTGCGCTTTCTCTTGAAAATTCAGCAGCTCTGGCAACCCTGAGTTCGAGGTCGGGCTGGAACTTGGAGCGTCCCATGGGAAGAGGAGCAGGCCGGCGCCACCTCTCAGGAGGTATCTGCCCCAGAGAGGCCCCACTAGGAGCCCACACTATGCTCTACTGGGGGCTCCCCTAGGACGGGGAGGGAACTAATAATTACTGGGCCTTGGCCAGCTGCAGCCGCTTCTACATTATGCAGGCTTCTACATTACCTGATTTAATTCTCCAAACTTGAGAGGAAGGCATCCTTCTATTCTCCTGATCAGAGAGCTAGGCACTGTCCCATTGCCAGGCTACACAGTTGGTGCCATTTGCCGAGGTGACCTCTAACTCCCGTGGCCGCCAGCCCAAGCTCTTTCCCCTGCGGCCCCTAGCGCGTCCCGCTCCCCCAGGCAGCGGGATCCGCTTTCCCTGCCCTGAGTCCAGCGCACGGCCGGGGAAGGGGCCGGAGTCAGGGGAGCCCGCCTCACAGTCGCCAGTCCTCCGCCCTCAGGCCCACCCGCCGCGGTCACGTGAAGAATCGAGCGCCGCGCGCCCAGGCCCGGCCTCCCGCCGGCCCGAGGAGGGCAGAGTCCGCAGCGGCTGCCGCCCCGACGTCCGCACATCCCCTCTCGCCGCGATGCCCTGGGCTGGTCAAGCCGCAAGGGTGAGCCGCCTGCGCCCGCAGCCCCCCGAGGATCTTCCGACTCGGGAGGTAAGGACTTTCAGGCTGCGCCCCGAGGGCGCCTCGACGGCAGCGCCTCCCGCCCCGCGATTGCCCTCCTGGTTCCAGGCGCCTCCGGGGCTCCCAGGTAGAAAGCGAACCCGCTGGAAGCCACGGCCGGCTGCAGGGAATGAGGGCCCGTGGGTGCAAGAGGGACTAGGAACCCCTCGGCTTTGGGTCTTTCTCGGTCCCCTGTGCCCCGGGAGCCGCGGCACTGGGCTGCTAATCCAGAAGGCGCACGGCCAGCTGGAGCGCAGCTCGCACACTGGAGTCAGTTGGGGAGCTGTCAAGCCCAAGCGGCTAGACAGGCCTCCCACTCGCCGTTGCTGGGCTGGGATCCGCGCCGGGGCTCCAGGTTGGGGGCCTTTTTCACTCCGTGAGGCGCGCACCCTTGTCTCAGAGACCAGTGCGCGCCCCCATGTAGCGCCAAAGCAACAGGAAAACAAGCAAGGGTCCTGCTGCAGGGAAACGCCCGGAAAGAAGTCTGCAGGATGTGGGCCCCGGGAGTGCTGATGCAGCCCCGGCTCTTCCGATGCCTGCGGGACACAGCAGATGGGCTGCGCAGCTGCCCAGCTGCTCAGGGACAGTTTCGCTGAGACAGCCTGAGCTTCTCTGAAAGAGTTGGAGCTTCCAAGCGACCCTTCTTGAGTTCTTGCACTGGACAAGAACTAAGACAGTGGAGAGAAAGGCGAGAACTTCAATGGCAGGAGCCCTGCTCTGATTCAGGAAATCTGAGTCCTGAGTTACACTATGATGGGCCGGTAAAAGTCACTAAGACCGTGGATGACAACGTCGGTCAGGCCCTGGCACAGTGCCTGGCACACAGTCGTGACAGCCAATCTTTAGACCCCTCAGGGTCCATGCTGCATCTCCTTTGCATTGTGCAAGTTTGTGGGAGGTGTAGAGTGTTTTGGTTCATTCTTCCTCTCAGTCTTGAACTGGCCCCCTTGGGCTCCGGGCTGCGGCATTATCACCCCTGCCGCTCCCCACTGGGCTCTTGAAGCCTGCTGGAGAGGGTCCACAGGGCAGGCTTGTGTGTAGGGTTGAGAAGCTCTGCCAGGCAGGCGAGGTGGCTCAAGCCTGTAATCCTAGCTACTCCACAGACTGAGGAGGGAAGATTGCTTGAAGCAAGAGGTTGAGGTTGCAGTGAGCTATGATTGTGCCACTATACTCCAGTCTGGGCAACAGAGCAAGACCCCATCTAAACAAACAAACAAACAAACAAATAAAACCCTCTGGTGCATTGGCCTCCCTCTCTGGCCTGCTGATCTCCCAAAGGGACTTGACTACATCCAACAGATGCATTCTACCATGTCTCCTAAATCTCAAGGGAGCAGGTAAAGGAGAAGAAAGGGGAAGTTCCTTTGTCCATAGCTTTGGCCTTGCTCCTGCCATCTAAGATAACAGCAGTGATTGTGCCATTAAATCAGAGATAGCATCTAGATCTTCTTCCCTCCCCAGGTTCTGACCTTGGGCACTCCATGGCCAATATAACTGGGTGAACGTTATTTAAGAATTAGTTTGGATTCATGTAACTAGAACCTGCCTAGTCACCTGAAATGCATTAACACCCTCTCCTTTCAAGTAGCTTTTTTAGGACTCTTCTGATTGGAGTTTCCTTTTTTGGCTACTAAGATGGCAATCTACTTCTTTGGGGGAATTTACCAGCACTTTCCACTTTGAAATGAAATAACCCAGTGCTAGTGATTCTCGATTTTGCCATTGGTTAGCATTAGCTAGGGAGCTTTTAGGATTGTAACCAGTTCAGGCTCTACCGCTGAGATTCTTTTGTAATTGATGGGGATATGTCCCGTGCAATAGTAACTTTCAGGCTACTTAGTGATTCAAAAGTACCACCAGGGCTGAGAGCCTGTGTCTTTTTTTTTTTTTTTTTTTTTTTTTTTTTTTTTTTTTTTTTTGAGACGGAGTTTCACTCTTGTTACCCAGGCTGAAGTGCAATGGCGCGATCTCGGCTCACCGCAACCTCCGCCTCCTGGGTTCAGGCAATTCAATTCTCCTGCCTCAGCCTCCTGAGTAGCTGGGATTACAGGCACGCGCCACCAAGCCCAGCTAATTTTTTGTATTTTTAGTAGAGACGGAGTTTCACCATGTTGACCAGGATGGTCTCGATCTCTTGACCTCGTGATCCACCCTCCTCGGCCTCCCAAAGTGCTGGGATTACAGGCGTGAGCCACCGCGCCCGGCTGAGAGCCTGTGTCTTATGCCGTTTCTTCGTGACAGTTCTATGTGGTGGCCTCTTGATACTTTATGTGCTTTTTTTTTTTTTTTTTTTTTGAGACAGTCTCCCTCTGTCACCAGGCGCCAGGCTGGAGTGCAGTGGTGTGATCTCAGCTCACTGCAACCTCCGCCTCCCAGGTTCAAGCAATTCTCCTGCCTCAGTCTCCTGAGTAGCTAGGACTACAGGCACACGACACCACGCCCAGCTAATTTTTTGTATTTTTAGTAGAGACGGGGTTTCACCATGTTGGCCAGGATGGTCTCAATCTCTTGACCTCGTGATCTGTCCACCTCAGCCTCCCAAAGTGCTGGGATTACAGGCGTGAGCCACCGCACCCAGCCTTTTTTGAATGTTCTTATTCTTAAATCTGTTTGTGCAGATCTTGCATTATCCTGTTTTGGGGTCTTAGTCCCTTGTTGCCTCTTCTTAGCAATTTGCAGAGCTGTTGCTTGCAGTAACCAGAAGAGTCTGAGAAAGTGTTCTACTCAGGTGGTCCAAGGAGCAACATAAAGCCAGTGAGCTAGCTAGGAATGATTCAGTGAGGGAGAGGAGTGGGGCTTCCGATGACCTGGATGGCATGTCCCCTGCCCCAAGAATACCAGAGCTACCCACCTTCAGTTGACTGTGGCTATCATGATTGCAAAAATGGCCAGAAAGTCTTCCAGTCCCTGAATACATACTATCTTTGCAATGTGCCTTGGCAACTTTTTATATCAAGAGGTGGGTTCTGTTTCTCAAGCCCCTGAATCTGGGCTTGGCCATGAGACATGCTTTGGCCAATGGATATTAGCAGTTGGGCTACAGGCAGAGGTGTGAAAAGCACTCGAACATTGGTGCTTGCTCTTCTGATGCCCTTGGGAAACTTTGACCACCACCTGTGGAAGAGCCCTGGTTAGCCTGCTGCAGGATGCACATGGCTAAGACATGTGAGCAAGACTATTCTAGACCATCCAGCCCCCGATGACCACAGGTATCAGCTAAGTTGGCCCAGACCAGGACTGCCCAGCTGACCCACAGAATTAGGGAAAATAATAAGTGTTTATTCAGGTGACCAAGAATCAGGGTGGGTAGCAAGAACTTGTTGAAATACAGTGCAGCATAGCCAAATGTTATAATCTTTTAAAGAGAAGCCAGAAGTTCAAATTTTTGTGTAAGCTCCAGTTTTTAAAAAATTTAAATGAGCAGCCAGCATCTAAAAACACTCTCTGGGCCAAACAAAACACAACTTTCGGCTGCACTTGGCCTATCCATTGTTGGTTTGCTACTTTCTTTATAGAGGGACATAAGGTTTTTATCCCAACACCTTACTGCCACTTACTCTCTCACCCTTCTTCCACAGCTGCTGTGCCCTGTCCTATCCCTAGCAGCTGTTTCTTGGTATAAAATGTCCGCAATGTGCGTCAAGACCCCAGCTCCTCCAGACAGTCTTTCTCTATGGGAATAGAAGCTGCTAGGATTGCCAGTCTTCACGGAAATAGTGAAATTTGAGACAGGTTTCCAATGAAGGAAACTGGGAAAGCTACTTCTGGTTTTAAGTGAGCATGAGATCAGGCATGGAGGTGGGTCCATAGAGGGACAGTGGACAAGTCCACCAATTTTGGCTAGAGAAGAGTGTTCCTAAAGGAAAAGTGAGGGAGATTAAATTGAAGAGGAGAGGAGAGGAGAGGAGACATTTAGGAGCCCCTCAATGCTAAGCCAAGGGTTTTGCACTTGATTGGACAGTGAAATCACTTGATGCTTTTGAATAGGGGGGTCTCGTGGGGAAAGCGGTACTACTCTATTGTATCAGTGTACAGGAAGAGCTTGTAGGAGGACAGGGGTACTGAGGGAGACAGAAGGTACAGTAGCCTTACGTATCCACGGTTTTTGGTTTTGCCTTCTGTGGTTCCAGTTACTCTAGGTCAACTTCAGTCCAAAAATATCCAAGAAGAAGTTACAGAAATAAACAATTCATAAGTTTTTAATTGTCTGCTGTTCTAAGTAGCATGGTAAAATCTCCAGATGTCCCTCTCTGTTCCGCCTGGGATGTGAGTCATCACTTTGTCCCACGTTTCCATGCTGTAGACACTACCTGCCTGCTAGTCACTTAGTAGCCATTGGGTTATCAGATCAAAAAGACATAGTATATACAGGGTTTGGTTACCATGCTCAGTTTCAGGAACAAACTGGGCATCTTGGGACATATTCTTCTCAAATAATGGGGGGACTAGTGTGTAGTGTTGTTAGTAAGGAAAGGAGCATTGGAATTGGAAAGAAAAATGGAGATGTGGAAGAATTTAACTTAAAATATATGGGAACTTCTCTTTACCTTAAAGTTACTTATGTTAATTTTCTTTTCTTTTTTTTTTTTTTTTGAGACAGAGTTTCACTCTTGTTACCCAGGCTGGAGTGCAATGGCGCGATCTCGGCTCACCGCAACCTCCGCCTCCTGGGTTCAGGCAATTCTACTGCCTCAGCCTCCTGAGTAGCTGGGATTACAGGCACGCGCCACCATGCCCAGCTAATTTTTTGTATTTTTAGTAGAGACGGGGTTTCACCGTGTTGACCAGGATGGTCTCGATCTCTTGACCTCGTGATCCACCCGCCTCGACCTCCCAAAGTGCTGGGAATACAGGCTTGAGCCACCGAATTTTCTTACCTATATAAACAAGACATATTGGCTGTTTTCAAAGCACTTCTATCAACAACTTTGCATTTTGTCTAGGTTCTTGTTGAATGACTTAAAGGTATTTGGGAGCTTACGGTGGTTTAT